ATACAGTAGAGCGTCGATTTTCCGAAAGTCAATCATCCGAAAGAATTCCAGTCGGCAAATTTAAATTTTCGCCAGTGCTGTGGCGCTTCAATCTTTGGCTATGTCTTGGGCTACTCAAATATTTTACGTTTTTGATACTAAATTAACATCTGAAGTATAATTTTTTATTGTTTTTATATTTTTCAATATATTTATTTTGTTTGTACAAAATAAAAAAATAATTTTTAACGATACAATAGTCTTTGTTAGGCTTAACATCGACGAAAATTCAACGCGAAGCGACACGCAACGGATAAAAATTTTAACATCGGGTACGTTAAACTATTTTTTCGTACATAAATCGGTTATCCGAAATATCAGTTATACGAACAACCCCAGTCCCCAATTGATTCGGAAAATCGACGCTCTACTGTATTATTACCAAGTAAATTTCTCATTTCAGGAAAGTCTTAACTATTTACTTTACACACAATTTTAATTTATTTTACAAATTACTAAAATATGTTTCCTCTAACAACAAAGATGGTTACTGGTTTCATAAATCATCTGATATGAAAAGTTCCATTTATATACTAGATAATTATTGCATATCATTCTGTGCAAAATAAACATTATGTTCATTTTAACTATTCATATTATTTTGTAAAAATTATTTGTCACTAAATATGTATAAGGCATGTAATCAATGAAAAACTAAAAATTGCAGACCTACACTATCAACTAGTAGTATCTTGTCTTGTACTGTATCAACTAATTGGGCATGAGCTTCTAGGCTATATCGCCACATGATAAAGTGTAACGTAATTTTCATGTAATAGTACAGTAGAGCATCGATTATCCGACCCCCGATTAACCGTCACATCGGTTAACCGACCGTCCTAGTCGGCAAATTTCAAATGTCCACTAGTGATGTGGCGCTACAATATTTGGCTATGTCTTGGCTACTTTCATATAATTTTTGTTAAATTTTTGCGTGGTTTAGCTGGCAACACTGGCTCGACCATGAAAGAGAGGTCAGTATTTAAACGAGATTTAATTTTCTAATTATTAGTAGTTTGTTTTGTGAGCAATAAAATAATTTAAAAATAATTTTTAACAATACAATAGCGACGATTATTATTTTTAAAAAATTTTTGTTAGGCTTAACGTCGATGAAAATTCAACGCGAAGTAGGTTAACGATATACTAATATACTATACTAATGTATTTTTTTCATTATTTTCGGTTATCCGACCAACCCGAGTCCCCAATTGAGTCGGATAATCGATGCTCTACTGTAGTTTGCGTTTATGGTCATTATGTGGGGAATAATGCCTTCCGGGGGACTTTTAAGTGTAACTGGCCCCCTATTCAGGCATTACAGATGTGGAGAAAACTCCAGGTGGCCAGTCCATCCAGGCAAGCCGCGAACGCACGGCTGAACTCCATGTTCAGGGAACAGAACTGCTTGACTTAGCTGTATCATAATGGCTGCCAAGACATGCACCCTCATGTGGCAGAATTTGAAAACACTGGAAACCTATGGATAGCATTTGCCAATTACATGGATGTATAACAAATTTACTATGTACCCCATATAATCTCTGCAATTGAATATTAGTTAAATTTTTGGTTTCTTCACGACAGGTTGAAGGAAAGGGAGGAAAGCATTCATATTTTCTTTTTGATGCATGCTGCAACCTGGCTTCTTTGCCACTTGTGCTGAAGTGTATCAATTACACAAGCACCTACAATGCTCCTGAATATAAAGATATAACATGCTATCGACTTACCTGATATACATAAGACTTGATTAATTTCATTAGCCCTTTTCCATTCTTTTATTCATATCAATTTTCATACTATTGTATTATTTTTCATCAGCTGCCCAAAGATTGACATATAGCACCAAAGTAATAAGTTTTTTGCTGCTTTATTGCAGAAACTTGCAATTTAAATCCCTTAAATTTAATTATTTTGAATTTTTGGAATTTTTTTT